ATGTAGCATGTAAAAAATTCCACCAAATAATATGTTTCCTTGCAAATAACGTCATTGTCACGAACACTAAGTGAGATTGTTGAAGGTTTGTTTGTTTGTATGTTGTTTAAGGTACCTCTCGAGAATTTTTCACTCATATGGAGACGCCACCACTTGCCATGGAGGGCTGCAAATTTTAACCTAAGCTCGGCAATTAGGGCCATTGAGCGGCGAGGAATCTTTCTCCTGCCAACACCTATTTGACACTGGACCTCGGTTTATACAGTCTCGTCCGAAGGACTGGTCTCCAAGTCCCGCAGTGGATTCGAACCTGCGACGTAAGGATCAACTCCTTACTCCGAGACTCTAGAGCAGACGCTCTAACCACTGCGCCACGCGGTCGACGATTGTTGAAGGTTAAAATCGAAAGAATTGTGCAAGAATTTGAGTTTAGAAATGAAGAAAAAAAAAAACTACCACCGATTAAGGAAAAGTATGGCTAATTTTGCACTGAAATGTAAGAATCAGTAAAATGAAGCAATGTCAATTAATAAAGTCAATAGCACTGTGTCTTTAATTGTAGAGAGCAACTGTCTGAAAACAACAAATTAACCAATGACAGTTAAATGTTTAATATTTCGATTTGATTCAACTGAGTCATTGATATTTTAAGATACTTTTCAAGCAGATTTGAGTAATATTGCATACGCACATGTTACTATAAGTATATATATATATTTTTTTTTTTAAAGTTTGTTTTCTAACATTAGAAGTATCCAGTATTTAGGACATATAAATCCAGACTGCCCTTGTGGAATGTTTTTTTTTTTTTTTTTTTTTTTTTTTTTTTTTTTTTTTCGATTTTTCCTGGAATTCTTTGAGACAAGCTCTTAATTAAATTGGAAGAGTTATATCTCCCACCACCAACGTCTCTATATGAGTGAAAAATTCTCGAACAGGACGCAAAACAACATACAATCAATCAATCATCTCCCACCACCGTATTGCACATATAGAACAAGGCACCTCAATGTGAAACATGCCAACTCTGTACACAGAAACAGAGTAGAATAAACCAGATACCTTCTCTTGATTATATTTTGGTAATGACATTAAAAAAGAGCTTATATATTAAATAATATTCTGTTTAATCATAAAATACATTTTTTAACGGAGAAAAAATTATTTGATCCTCTCACTGCACAAAATTTTCGTCAAATGTTACCAAGATAACGCAATTGCGATGTGCATTGCGATCGGTGACTTTTTAATACCTTGCTGAGTGGGATTTAACTAACGAAAAAATGAGTGTATTGGTAAGTTTAAATGTAGTTTAATACAGTTTAAAATCGCAAATTATTTCTTGTTTCGTATTATAAAGAATTGTTATTTTTGTCTGATGCCACAGTAAAATTCCCCGTATAAATTAGCCCCAAACCCCCACCCCACCTAACCCCCCAGTCTCCTTTAATAAAAGTTAATGAAACAATAGACCTATGGGCCACATCTCGCACCTGAGCACACTGGCTAGGAAGAAGTTGAAATCAGTTCAGTATTCAAAAGTTTTAAGGGAGAGGGACAAACTTTAATTTACACTACCTCAGGATGCTTCTATATAAATATTACTAATAATGACTTTGCTGTTCTTAAAGAGAAGAGTTTTAAAGATTTTTTGCCTATGTATTCCTAGTAAAACTCTGATTGCTCATTGTGGCCCCACCCTACCTACCGTAAATTTGAACCTGCACTACCTGAGGATGCTTCTACAATAATAAAACTAAACATGGCTTTGCTGTTCTTGTTCAAAACATTTTTTTTCAAGATGATTCCTATATATTCTTATGCAAGACATTGACCTCCTGCTGTGCCCCATACCCCTGAGGGGTCATTATTTGAACAAATTTGATTCTACAACACCTAAGGTTGCTTCTGTATAAATATGACTATATCGACTTAGTTGTTCTTGAGAAGAAGGTTTCAAAGATATTTCCTATGTAATGGTGTGATCGAGTTCTTACAAGGGATAAATAGGTTTTCCTTTTACTCTGTCTGAGTTTATGATTTGAATGATTATTAAGACAGCTCTGTATGAGGGTATATCACACAGTACTTAAATTCTCTCTTATCTAGAGATGGGGACTGCGTAAGGTACATCTTGCTCCGTGTTTCTCCCCTAGGTTGCCATTGATAGATAAGAACCAGCCATTGTCTCAGACTTCTTCAGTTTTATTTCATCCAGAACTTAATATCAATTCCCTGGGGTACTGCCACTGGTGTTTATAACTTTTATACTTTTATTTTGCTCTTACCCTTAAGATTTTCAATCCTCTATCCTGAAATGTCTATCACATACTAATACATAATACTATGATATTAATTCAGACCATTTTCCAGTAGAAAAGGATTTACCCAGAAAAAGTTTCAAAATGTATTTAACTTAGCAGTAAGTACTTAACAAAGAATGCATTGAAGTCTATGGAGCATTTTTTTTTATAAATAAAAATTCAAATAATAAGAATGTCAATAAAAACTGTAGTGGAAAAATGTATTAAAACACATCAGAAATAGAATGACAGTTGAATTTTTTTTTTTTTTTTTTTTAATTTTTTTTTTTTTTTTTTTTTTTTTTTTTTTTTGACCTGATAAGTTTCTTAAAATTGATTTTTTTAATAATTGAAAACAGAGGGAGATAACTCTTACCAAAATTCAAGGTCATAGATTAGGACACATCCCACCCTTACATGCAAATAGTAATAAATGGGAATTATGTCTAAATATACTAAGTATTCAAGACCTACCATCTGTTATGCATTCAATTTCATTGAATCTTTTGCTATCAGGGTGAAATACCTTAACTTCTTTATTGCTGATTCATCAGCTAACTTCTACATGTATGTACAGCTACCCTCTGATTGCCTGACTTTCCCAAAGCTTTGCCTTATATACCCTTGGGCTAGTCCATTCCAAGTGTTGTCAGGTCATTTCACTATCTGAAGTCTTCAATGCGTTTACTCAAATGCCTCTTAACCATTACATCTATATATTCCTATGTAAACCTTGATCCACCGTTGTGACCCTGCCCTATCCCCCCCCCCCCCCAAGGGTCATGTTTTGAACAAGCTTGAATCTACGCCACCTGAGGATACTTCTGTATTCATATTTCTAATAATGGCTTAGCTGGTCTTGAAAAGAAGATATTTCCTTTGTATTCCTATGGTAAATTTTCACCCCCTGTTGTGGCCCTACCCTACCCCCAGGGGTCATATTTTGAACAAAATTGAATCTACACTACCTGAGGATACTTCTTTAATAATGACTAATCTTGGCTTTGCTGTTCTTGAGAAGAAAAATTCTAAAGACATTCTTATATATTCCTATGTAAAACTTCGACCCCCTCTTGTGGCCCCGCCTTACCCCCCAAGGGTCATGATTTGAACAAACTTGAATCTACACTACCTGAGAATACTTCTGTATTAATATGTCTAATAATGGCTTAGCTGTTCTTGAGAAGAAGATTTTTAAAGATATATCCTATATATTACAATGGTAAATTTTCACCTCCTGTTGTGGCCCTGTCTTACCCCCAGGGGTCATATTTTAAACAAAATTGAATCTACACTACCTGAGGATACTTCTGTAATAATATGACTAATCATTCCTTATATATTCCTATGTTAACCTCCCTCTTGTGGCCCCGCACTACCCCCGGGGTCATGATTTGAGCAAATTTGAATCTAGAGTATTTAATGAAGCTTTCACATAAGTTTCATCTTCTCTTGCCCAGTAGCTCTTGAGAAGAAGTTTTTTTTTAAAAGGTGGCACCAAATTTTCACGAATTCTTAACTATCTCCTTTTGAAAGAGGGCGCAGCATTTCCTAAGAACAAACTTGAATCCCCCTTACCAAAGGATGCTTTGTGGTAATGTTTGGCTGAAATTGGCCCAGTGGTTCTTGAGAAGAAGTCGAAAATATGAAAAGTTTACAGACGACAGACGGACGCTGGACACTCTTTGATCAGAAAACCTCACTTGAGCCTTTGGCTCAGGTGTTCTAATAAAATTGACTGAAAGAATGACTAATAAAGCAGCCAACAGGCCAGGCGTTGAACGGACAATAAAGTATTCGCTTAAATAGTATTAATCTACAGGGATAAAATTGATTACAAAGCTCTATCTTTAGTTCTGTGCTAGTAGGAGTTGGAACGGAAAGAAAAAATTTTCTTCGATTTTTATGCTAAATTTAGCATTTAAGCATTTGAAATAAAAATACTTATGATTTTTTAAAATGAAATTGATTAATAACAAGGGCATCGTAAAGCGGGGTATCCCCTTATAAAAACGCACCTTTCTAAAAGGTCTGCTACGTGTATTACACTCGCATCAAATCATAAAAAACAGTTGTTTGTAAAAGGCGGTATCATACAAAATTTAATTTTTTTTATGTATAACTGCCATCTACTCGTGTCTTAATTAAAACCAGAATATTTTATCCAAATTCAATAAAACTGAACAATTAATCTGAGCCTACGGAACACTTGGCGGTCGGGCAGTGCCGGTGTAAAGTCTAATAAAGACCGGGGTCAGTTTTCCACGTCGAAAAATTACCTCGGCCTTTATTCTACGTGGGTCATTATTCGTCTTTACACCTGTATGGTACTGTAAATAATTTTCTAATTATCGTAAATGTCTGTTCATGGATGCTATCGTCGAAAAATAAATATCTACATCAGTGGTTTATCTAATTTCTTGGTTAGCAAATCATGCCACATAACCTCTACAACTATGAACAATATGTTATGAACATACCGCAAATACTCTATTAACTTAATGGGTCGAGGAAATATTAAAATAGAATCCGGTTGCATACAACTTAATATTTACACAAAAAAACAAGCTCGTTTAATACTAAGTCCTATGCTTTTTAATTTGTCAAATTTATTTTTTTCCTATTAATGCAATGCAAAAATTACGGAAAACAAGTGAATGATTCAGCAATCCAGGTGTAAATTACTACTTCCACTTACAAGAGCGTTTATACACCCAGACTTTGTAATGAAAGGTTAAGGAAGAATATACAAAACCTCATTCTTGACCATATATCACTTAGATGTTTCAAAACAATTTCCAAATATTTCAGATGCTAATGCTTTAACGTTCTGCGATGAGGAATTTCGCATTTTGGTATTTATGGTCTCTAAGGCATATCCATACTATACCCTTTTATTTGAAGGCACATGAACACCATCCTGGTAAAAGCAACTAGGAACACCGGCTCTGACAATAAGTACGACATAAGCTTTCTGTTGTCTTATCATAAAGCCAGGTGAACCTGAAGACCCAGGGGCAAATGTCGTGCTGAATAGTATCTTTTGAGGCGGATCACGCAGTGCTGCGTAATAATCAATTCCATTTGGGAGATTCTCTCTACTCCAGCCACTTAACCATTTAACGTAAATGTCAACGTTGTTGTTTGGTTTAATTATGTTTGGGTAAACTTGGCTGTCTTCTTTCATTTGCACGCAACCAGTGTGGCCAATGAGGTGAATCTCTGATGGATATTGCATTTTACCAAATGAAGTCAAAGGTGGCGCAAACGTGACACCGCTTTCCTGGTGAACCTTCAATTCCAAAATAGCTACATCAAAATCTTTATCCATGAAGTGAAGAGTTGATTCAAATCTAAATTTCTTCCTTGGATCGTCTGTCTGGGTCACTTTTGTCTTGCCAAACTGAACGCAAATTCGGTCACTCTCGATGGAATTTTGATCTGAATAAAGATATACCTTTTAAAATACATAGTACGCCGGAGAGAGAATGGTGTATGAAATAATAAGAAGAAGAAATAAGCCTCCCCAAATGTAGCTACTAGTTCTACATTATATGCTAAGTCTTAACTTTAGAATTGAAGGTTTAAATTGTAATCTATTCACGGATGCTTTAATCAATCCGTGTGAGAAAGGAAGTCCCGCACATTTAAAAAAATGTTATGTCTATTCATTACCCATACTTTGACCGCTTTTACAAAATCTAATTCAAAGAATCTGCACAGCAAGGGGAAGGTAATAAATGTGAAAATAGATTAAAGATATTTATTTATTATTTAAAACAACGATGTTCCTTTAAAAGTGACGATATATTTCAACGGTTATCTACGTCAGGAGAATGGTTGAATTATGTTCATGTTGTTAAAAAATAATCCTTTCTCTGATCAAGGATAACGTATATTTATCCCTTGAACGTTGCATTTTGTATCAGTAAGATCAACTAAAAGAAGTTTAGCAAGGACTGCTCACCTTTGACAATCTCTTCTATAACATGTAAGCATGTCATGATGTATTTTTCCCAAACACGAAATCCTTTTCCCTCAGAAATTCCATCAACGAGTATGAGCCCCACACTCTTGCTGACCTCTACTTTGATAAAGCTTGTCATCACATCTGTTGGACACACTCCTTTGGAAAATGGATATTCAGGTTCCGTTCTTCGTATTTTCTTTCCCTAAAATGTGTTTCTTATACAATAACATGTAACCGCATACCTTCAAAGTCTCCTTTTTGTCATTTTAATCAAATTTAAAATGTATTTCTTTCAAAAAATTGGAAATATGATAATCATATTTCAAAAACATGAAATTAATAAGGCAGATATAGATTTAAAATCGTGATTTTTTTTTCTATTTCTTTGTGAACCATCAGAAACATGACAACATTGCAAATGTTACAATGTACATATCTTTCCTTCCATTCCAATGTAACTCCTACCCGACTAATAACAATGACTTCTTTTTATCCTCTTTGTGTTTATAAAATTAATAATTATTTGCCATAATACCTCTAAACACCTATAGTTCCTAAAACAACCCTCTTTTTTTCCTTCTGTGTTGGCCTGCACATCCTGAAAATCGTCAGGAAAATTCACATAAATAATATTAAGAGAAGCTCAAATACGTATTGAGAGAAGTCCTAAAAGATTAAGTTAAGAATATAATTTATACTTTGAATCCAAGGAAATTCTTTCTCCTCTCTCTTTATATTAAACAGTCGGATAGATAATGAAAGAACTAGTCATATTCAGATATTTTAAGCCATCGTCTTAAATCTTCGTCATAAGATAGGTTAATATAAGATGTGTTATTAGTATATAAGGTAACCTTTTCCCAAAAACGCAGGATTTCTTCAACATTTATTGAATGCGTCACAGAACAGAATTAGCATTGGATTATTCCCTGTCTGATATTGGCTATTTCACTGAAAGGTATAAATGATCGATCCTCATTATTACAAATAATGCGCTGGCATTTGTGTCCCTTCTGAAAATAAATTTTCTCATCATTTTTACAAGCAATCTGCACAGTCTCTCCTATTGCAATAGAAATGTTTGTCTCTATAATTGAAGGTTTAATACGTTTCAGTTGCACCTGAATGTCATTTTCACAAATACCAATGACAACAGTGTGATTTTTGTAATCAAAAATTGATGCTGTTTGATATAGACCGAAACTCTCTTTTTCCCTGGTGACATTCCATTTGAGGTAACTCATACAATAAGCAACTAGTCTGTAGTAAACGAACATAGCAAATGAGCGAAATCGGAAACACAGAATTGATGAGTATTCCCATTTTTTGTCTGAAAAGTCTTGGTTAAATATTCTCTTGTTCATACATGGAACAAACCATGCCTTGTCCTTTTCTGTGGTATCCTTTTTGGAATGTAGAGAAACTAGCATATGGAGTTTCTGCATTTTTGTCATAATTTCAGTTTTTTGATTCAAATATGAAGGTACATCTTACCACAGAGCAGTCAATAGCTTATCATCCAATTTCCCTGTCTTGTTGAACAAGTCCCATTCTGTATAATATCTTCTCTTACAGTCTTTGTGAATATGGTTTTTATCGGCTATAAGTTTGTTAACTGCAATAGCAAACCACTGAATATTAAGAATAACATTTTGTTTTGAATGATCTTCAAAATTATTCCCATCTTCAAACCATAATAACAACCCGTTGTTGTGGAAAAACTTTAAAAATTCAGATAATGCTGTTTTGTTTTCAAGTTGAAACTCAAAGGGAAGGCATTTAGTGTTTATATCTCATATTTCTTCAAAAGACATAACTTCTTCCTTTTTCTCGTTGATCAGCTGCTCAGCTAGGTTAAGGACTCCCATATATATACGTCAGCCTATGCAGAGGTTCGGCAAAGCTATTATGACGTCACGTTAAAACAATACAAATGAATCTCGATGAATAAATACTATATGTTCTTTTTAAAACACACTAAATACGTTCGTTTATCATAAATATTATAAAGATAAATGGATGTGCAACTTATCTTGTCATAATAGCACTTAGCGTATGTAGAATGAAAGCCAACTTGATCTCGCTGTACTTACTGAGATGACGTCATTTCTTAGTTTGACACGCAGTTTCTCTGTACTTGAGGCGTGGATCAAGCTTTTATCGTAGCTTGTAAAAATAAAAATAAGTACGAAACACGCGTAGTGGGACTAAAGGAGAGAAATATTCTGAAATATATTAATCCACATTTTATTGTCAAACTAAATTGATAATGTGTAGACTTTATATAAAGCCGTAGGGAGCACATTTGTACAGCAACGTGCTAGAATGACAGGTCCAGCCCCTCGAAAATATCAAAAGTTCAACGATATCCGCTTCACTATAAATTCTGAATTTTTAAACACGTGCAGCTATTATTCCTACTATTCTGAAAAGTGCTGGGAGCTGGTTGTGCATTGTTGATTTATTCCGTAATGTAACATTATTCCAATGCGAATTACATTTTTGACTGGAGTTTATAGAAAGACGGCTAAATTTTAAACAATTCCCGAGCATGAGGAAGTTGCTCCCAGCACTTTTCGTGTTAAGGAATTTGTCTCAAAGAAAACGGAATAAATCTTATAGCTGAAAAATGCCCGTATATTGTTGAACTTTTACGATCTTTGTAGTAGTACATATATGTTCTAATTTTAAAACTGTCACGTGACAAACAGCTGATGTAAGCGATGTCGCTTTGGCCGAACTCAGCAAAGACCCGATATATACAAGTGCAAACACCACAAATCACATTTATCAAAATTAATGCTGTCAAAAAAAATATTAAAATTGTATTCATTTTCCCTGAATATATTAAGGCGTATATTTCATGGGCGTCCTTAACCTAGCTGCGTGTTCTAGCAGTGCCCATTTCGAGGTTACTTTCATTGTATTACTGAGTTTTTGTGTGGCTGCTTTAATTATGGATGTTTTGATAGATTCCAAAGTTTCCCTGCCCGTATCAGTTAGATTGAGAAGGTCAACTTCATACTCAGAGCGACTAGAGACCCTCTCAACCAATCCCTGTCTTCCACTGGAACTGCTTTCCAGAACTCCTTAAAATTTTCATCCATTTCCTGTCGATAAGAAATAAATCCATTCCATTAAAATAGCTTTATTAGTGCATGTAGTTTCCAATTTAAAATGTTGTTAGTGTTCCATGTAAAAATACTTTGGCAAATATTCACACTTAACTGCTTGTGTCATAAACTTACATCTTCAGATTTTTCTTCTGTGTGAGTAGCTTTGATCAAGACAGGGGCTTTTGTACTGCCAAATGTCTTGATTGATGATATCCAGAACTTCACGTGGTCTAAAAAAAGATGACACCAAAGTAGATTGCATAAAATTAATTTTACGGGTTTTTCTTTTTATTTTTCGATTTTTTTTTTTACACTATTTATATAGTTCTAGATATTGATCAGCATTTAAACCTGCTTATCTATAAATAAGATGTAAAACAAAGGCGGGTTAAGTTGAAATATATTCCTAGCGTAGATTTCAGAAGGATTTCATAGTCTTTAATGCATTGTAGGCGTATTTTGCACGAATAACTACTTGCAGAAATATCTGTCTGCATTGAATGAGAACTTCTAATACTATGGAGCCTCTGCTCCATAACTTTTTAGGAATGTAATGCATCTCTTACATTAACCCTTAATAATGTGTTGATCAGGTAAATGGAGTAACCCTTTGTAACAGTTTTGATGAGCAATATAAAATTTATCTCTTTATAACTATTGCACTGTTTTTTTTTTTTTTTTTATATCATATCATATATTATTTTTTGTTGTGGTTTAAAAGAAATATCCTATCAAGACAACATAGATATCTACCTTCATAAGTCCATGTAGAGAAAATTGATCCCTGCTGGTTATTTTCTTCAGTACTTACGTAATCTTCAAACTTCTGAGTCACATTTAAAACAAGAATAAAGAACACTCTTTCTGTAATGTAAATCTGATGGCATGCATAATACGCGAATTGACCAGCTAAATCCAGCATACTAATTGTTGGTACTTTTTCTTTTTCATCCAATATCTTCAGCAATATATCCCTTGGAATTGTAGTTGTCCTTGCGTCTGAGTGAACAGAGAGGGGTTTCATTTGCAATTCTTTATCTTTTTCAATATGAACTGTTTTATTTTCAGTTGAATTATTATCCTGTATATCTGAATTGTCCTCTTCTGATTGTACATTTGCAACATTTTCATTCGCTTCCACATTTCCATCTTTCTTAACAACCTCAGAATCTAAGTCAGACATACTAACCCTAATAAATGCTTTCTGTCGTCCATCGTCCAACGATACTGTTAAAAAATATTTTGTTAAATAAACTATTAACCTTTGAAAAAAAAAATATCATTAGCTTTTCAGAGTTAAATATCGTTCAACTATTATCAGGTTTGGTAGGAGCGCTTATAAATTGTACCTCAGTAAATATATGTGTTTTTAAGTAAGTATTCAATTAAAAATTAAACCTTCTAGACGACCATTTCTGATGGTAAATACATGCCGATGAAGCTCCAGGCCCCTTGTAGACTCAATATCATCTACATCATCTTGGGTTTCTGCCATTAAACGTTTCAGTAATGTTGTTTTTCCTGCTTCAGCACAACCAACAAGAATGCCTCTTGAGTGATCAACAGTTATTATGGTTTTCTGTAAAGACCCTTCTAGTTTTTCGATGTATAGTTGTTGCAAACTCCTCTTTAGAATTTGTGATAGGACATTCGAATGTATAACCTTACCGCCGGAACCTAACAGTAAAATAATTACTTTTTTATGAAAAAATGCATCACATTTGCAATACAGGTATATTTTACTGCATCAAAATTAATCAATAATGCTATGAAAGGCGCGAATGAACGACGATCATCGATAATTTGGATTGATGTTTGTGTGTGTTTTAGTAAGTGGAGAAATAAGGTACATATACAGCATGTACCTGCTTTGCCTTTTTGAACTGATTTTTTTTTCAACATTAAAAGTCGCATCGTTTATCCTTGCATTATTTTTGTTAATGGATTCTTACAATGGATTATTCAATGTCGTAGCAATTTTTTTTTGTCTGAGTATAAATATTGTAAGTTAGTTATGGAACAAATAAAGAAAGCATCTATTTACTATAATACACGGTATTAAGGATACATAACACTAACAAACATT